GATGATACCATTGGCAGATTTACCATAGTCCTTAAGACTGGCTTGCAGGTCATCCTCCAGAACCTGGATGTAGAGATCCCCATCAATTCTTCCATCAATCTTGCATGCATACCCAACCCCCTCCCACAGCATGCACCCCCAAACCATTAAAGATCCACCACCAAACTTCAGGGTTCCCTCAACCAGCCTGTCACTCAAGCCCTCCCCTGCCTTTTTCCACACCCACTTCCTGCCATCTGACCCCAGCCTATTAATTTTGGTCTCATCAGACCACACCACCTTCTTCCAATCCTCCACAGTCCAATCCTGATGTGCCAAAGCAAAATCCATCCTCTCCTTCCTATGCCTCTTAGAAAGAAGAGGCCTTTTCTTCTTTACCACAGGCTTCATCCCAGCTGCCTTGAGTCCACGACACACTGTTTGAGGATTGAGTGACTGGTTGGTGATAGTGCAAAGTGCCTTTTTTGCATCTACAGCTGTATCAGCCTTTCCAGAGCTGATAAGGTGTTGTGCAAAATGGATGTTGGCTGTGGAGAGTTTGGAAGGGTGACCACCAGAGGACTTAGAAAGGTGGGAACAGTGTTTAGAACAAAGTCTAGAGATAGTAGCATAGCTATAGCCAGTAGAAACTGAAATATGTCTGGCAGAATGGCCACCATTAAGTAGAGAAAGGATCTCATACTGGGCAGCAGTGGAAAGGGGATGCATAGTTAGAATTGAGGGAATCTTAGCTGAGAAAGCCCTTCAACTTATACACTGTAGTATAGAATGATCACATGACATGTTGAAAAATATAAACAACTGCAAACAATCAACATAGGCACATGGTTTTCATACTAGAACCTGTCAGTTACAAAATGTATCCAATGACCCCTCTCCATTAAAATATTCATAGTGTTTCCATATATCGATATTACATAATATAGTTCTACCATATACATATATACATGATAGGTCATGTTCACAAATATTTTGGTGATTTCTACTATTTTATCTACTGGGATATAGCATATATAAGCTGAAACTACAAAACATTGGATACGTTTTGTAAGTCACTGTATGGAGAAGTGACATAGAGGGGTGAGGTCTGATACAGCCATCAATGCCTCAAGTCTTCACATTGCATACATACAATAGAATCCCTCTTAATCCATATGTACCTCTGATACCCCATAATCCCTTATATCCCTTAGCTCAAGCTATCCACCCTCAAAATCCATAACCACTCATGACTCATACCTTGGGGTGCTGTGAAGATCTGTTCCCAGAAGCTCTTCAGAGTATTATCTAGGTATATTATCAGTTTCCAAACCATATTCTGGACTAGTGTTAGGATCTGGAATCCACCAGAACCCAACCCTTATCCCTCCAGTACCCTTCAGCTCAGTTCTCAGTGGGATATTCCACCCTTAACTAGATGTCTCATCTGATGACCCAGAACCCATTGGAATCCACCCCTTAACAGCTAACTTCTCCAAGAGTCCTTGGTTCATTACCTAACCCAGACTCTGGTCAGACTCCCACTTTCTTCTAGATGCTTCAGTAATCCATGACCCAGACTCCTTGAATACATTCACTTGCTTATTGTTCCTGCACTTATTCCCTGATCTGTCCTGGTCCTTGTTCCTCATTTATCATTTTTTGTTCACTTTTTTTATTATATGCTTATTTTGGAAACAGTTTCAAATATGTTTTGTTATGCTCTCATATTTTTAGTACAATTATTGGAACAACTATACTGTATAGTCTTCCATAGTCATGTACTTACTCTCCAGTTTGAATCTCAAACTAGTCTTGACTTACTCTAATCTACTCCTTTGTTCTTTCTGTACACTTAATATCTGGAACTCCTCAGAGCTCTGGTTATCTACACCTCTCATGTAAACATCTGTCAACTTGAAATAATGACAACTGAATGTATGTGGGAGGGCATAGCACATAAGCTGATGCCAAGTCCTTCTTGTACCCTGCAACTCAAACTTTTTTTGTGTCATCTGGCTATTTGTCCTCACCTGTGTATCATCAGAGCCCTTGGGCCTTCTGACTTCTGGTTCCCTCACATATTCTCAGACTCCTCAGAGTACCTGGACCAACACCTGTTCAAAGTTATGACCCAAACATCAAGGGCACAGCACATGAGCTGAAGTCAAGTCCTTCTCATACCCTTTAATATTCCAATACTGTTAACATACATGTGATCTCATACATGTGTATTGTACAGTTGCTTACATAATTAGTCAGTGATGTGTTCTTGATCCACTGTGTGTGCACTGCTTTAACAGGTTATGGGCCCTGCCTTGATGTTGTGAGACATGAGGGGTACCCCTCTCTGGGGAATGTATGTAACTGCTTTATAGTATTATATTTTTCCTTTATTTTTCTACTATATTTTGACTAAGTAAAATCTTTGTTACATGCATTTACATTAGTTCAAAGATCCATTACACCTGTGGGTACATAGACTCTTGTGGTGTATACTTACTTTTGTCTTATGTACATACACTAGTGGGGGTAACAAAGAACTCAGACACTTTTTACCCTGTAACCATGACTTGCCTAAGGCATCATTTGAAGTGTCCTGCAAGTTGTGATTGGGGTATTGTCTCAGCCATCTCTAATGGCTACTAGCTACATCTCCCTTTTACTCTGAGCTTTGTACTTACCATCAAAGCTCAGAATTATCTACTTGAACTTGCTCATCACTGCCCACACTTCTTTGCCCCTTCCTATTTTTTTCTTGCAAAACATTCTTACTTCTTCCATTTCATTGGAGTCTTTCATCTGAATTGTACTGTAAAGATCAATTCCACTTATTGTCTTAATCATCTTCAGCTCCCCTAGGATTGCTTATGACAATTACTCCCCTTTTACTTATATTGTACTTCAATAGTCAATATAACATTATCATACCTAGAAGGTCAATATTCTTCATATATTGAGTGGTCAGAACTTCTATGACTCTTCACAATGGGACTCCCTTGGGTTGTAACTGAAACACACTCATTGTATTGCCATGCGAGGTGGAAGATCACAGAAACAACATGCCAGACACACCATTCCCAAAACTGAATGACAACAACTATACAGACTGGAGATATCAGATGGAAGCATATCTTACAACAAAAGATCTCTAGGATGTCATTAATGAATTGGAGAGCCAACCAGCAGATTCTGCCAACAAGAAGGCTGTAAAAACATGGGAGAAGGAGCAGTGACTGGTGAGACCAGAACTCATACTTCAAGTTGAAACTGATCAACTCCTGCACACTCATTTTGATGACCCTGAAGAGATTTGGAAGAATCTTGAGAAGGTACACAGGGCATGAGGATTTGCAACACACCTTTCAATGTGATGATTGCAAAAGAAGAATCAAAATTGATGTGTACTTGGATTGCTGTAGTAAAACAGCTTACACACCAACTTCAGATAGGAGTTGAAATACATAATGAAGAAGTGATCATTGTACTCACACTCAGCTTACCACCATCCTATGAAAATTTTATTGTCACACTGGATGCACCCCTCATGAACAACTCACACTCAATTTTGTAATCACATGCCTTCTTAATGAGGAATCATGACAGGATATAGCAAATGGACAAGAACTAGGCCAAAATACAGTGCTTTACATGAATGGAATAGGTTGAGGGATGAATTCCCTTTGTTTTCATTGCTGCAACATGGTCATTGAAGAAAGGACTGTCCACAAAACAAACAAGGTCTCAAATTATTAAACTCTAGTACATCTGATGAAGATGAGATCAAAGAAAAGCAGAAGATGAAGAAAACTGAACCAAATAAGATCAAACAAATGTTGCTCAGTGTTAAGATCTAAGCCAAAATGGGGAGAGGGGGCTCTAAGTTGGAGGGCCAATGATGGTAACTAAGTCAATCAGGTGGCCAATGATAGAGATTGTACTAGTCGGGAGGTCTGACTCTATAAATGTAGTGGAGCTTGGCTTCAATGTATGTGTTGCACCCTTGTACAAACTGTTAGGATGCTCTGGTATTTCAGACAGATCTACAGTACATATGTATGCATTGAGAGGGATTCCACTGTATATATGTAACTACTCACATAATCATCCTGTTTTTCCCACTGCCAAGTGATGTACATATCCTACTAGTTCCTTGAGCAATATTCTGCAGTCCTATCAATGTGTGACTCAGACCCAGTGAGCCTATTTGACAACAGGCTTTTATTAATAATGAGACACAGAAAAAGGAAGATGGTTGAGATGACAGGAAATTAGAGCCAATTGAGCTGAAAAGAGTGTACTCATACATACATACAATCAATCCAATTTCACTTGATGCAGCACCCAAGAGGCATAGCAGGCTGATATTGGGCATCAACCACCACTGTATCCATCATCATAAATGTGTCCCAAATATTTTGCATGGTGTGTTTGACGTTTTCATTTGAGATGTATGTATCTTTGAGGTCATGAGGTCAGTAACAGTAAAACCAGGATACAAAAGGGGCTGAAGTGGAGAACCCTATAACATCAGTGAGAATACAATGACCTTTGTTAGCTACTCAACCAGTTTCTAGATGAGCTTACCTCTGACACATCAACCACAACCTCACCCCTCTAAGATTTCAACTTAAGCAAGTACTTTCACAAGAACCATTTCAATGGAAAGATGGAACACAAGATACACCATGGATAGTGTGAGTTGATTATGGAATGTGCTAGCTTCCTAATTCACAGACATGATGAGGGGCTGCAGTCCTTACCTGAATTGGATGGTCTGGCAATGCTGCAGAAACCATAAACATGAAGTTGTAGCTATGGGGTGTTGGAGATGGTGATGAAACACCCACTCTCTGGAGAAGTTCTGTGAGAATTGGAAATACATATCTATCTGGCTGTATTTGTGTGTATGGTATAGTGAACAAGTCTGGATGAATAAGAGCCAGAGAGACCCTATATTTGCATATGATACAGTTGACACTATATATGTATATAATCCATTATATAGGATTGGACCATGAGGTCCAGTAGCTCAGTGGTTAGAGCATGGGCAGATATAGCCAGGGGGTCCTTGGTCCAATCCCAGGTTGAGTCAATTCTTTTCTATACCTTTAACAGGTTCACCCTTCTCCTCCTACCAAATACTTGGGAAATAAATATTGTGAACCATGCTCAGTGAGGTTGATGCATGATTTAACCCAGGTACACCTAAACCATCACCAAACCTATCATGTCAGAAAGTGATTCACTGACTGACACATTGATTGATACGAGTATTTCATTACAAGCTTATTAAACCCTTGTAGTTTGTGCATTTACAATAAGTCAACTAATACTATTTTTAATACAGGATAGTAAGTGGATGCTATCACTGACTTAACAAGAGTAATAACTGTACATGGGAATAATAATAATAATAACATATTTGAGGAGGCTAAGGAGGCTGAGAAGAAAGGTAGCTTTGCACTGGACTCACGTCAACGCCCTGGGAATGAAAATGACAACTCAACTTGAGCTAGAGTACGGACTATAATATGAGTAGTAAGGTGAATTAGAAACTCGCTTTAGCTTAGGGGTAAAGTGGATTTCATTGCTTTCTGCTCTCGTATCGACGACATGAGTAAGGTAGCGGATAGCTAGTGTAGTGACGAAACATTTAGTCATGCACGATATCAGAAGAGAGGGCTAAAGTCCAGTACATTAGTCTCAACATCGATACATCGGGGTCACTTCTGTGTTTATCGTGGCACATTGATCCATTCTTCCCTCGGACTAGCTACAATAACATATAGATATTTCTCAAGCACCATATCTCAAGACAACGGAATATATTCATCATCAAGTGGCCATACAAGGTTGGCTCGTAAACACATAACTATCAAATCAAATCAAATCGTCCTTCGGGGAATACTATTGCTATAGTAAGTCATAAGTACATCGCTTAGTGAAGCAATCAAAAAATGTAAGTGAAACAATGTAAGCAGGGCAACAAAGGCAAGGTAAAAGAGGATTATTATCAACGATGGTCTCAACTGGAGATCTTCTCGAGGGAGCCAGTGTCGATCTTACCGGTGGCGGCAGCTCCACGGCTGAATACCTGCTGTACGCCGTCCTCGCCATCGAAGATCCTATAAAATAAGAGACATAAACAAACATAGTACAGGTGGGTAGGAGGAAGTGGGACATACATAGCGGTCTCCTCCAACGTATGGCCCCTGGTCTCTATCACGAACAAATAACAATACACCAACTCGAACGCCAACCAGCAATCATACACAATGTAGTACTTCCAGCCGATGGCCTTGAGTGCGATGGGATTGACATACTGGTTGAAGATGATAGCAACGGAAATGGTGAAATTGAAGATATTAAAACCCTTAGCACGGATGGCATATGGAAGAATTTCTACGGTATAGGACACGATGAGAGGAGTGAAGGCAATATCGTAAGAGGCATAGAAGAGGAAGATAAAAGCGATGACGGCATTTGCGGCCTGTTTCGATCTAGTCAAGGCAAACTGGGCGGAGCATACGGTCTGCATGACGAAGAACACCAGCATGCCAACACATGAACTCAAGAACAACTTTCTTCGTCCGGCCTTGTCACAGAGGGCAGAAGCACTAAGAGCCCATGCCAAGTTCCAGATTTGCAGGATACCATTAATAAGCAATTGAGTGGTGTTGTTCGTGATACCGATGGTATCAAAAACCTGGTTCAGGTAGTACGAGACGAGACCGTTCCCGGACCATTGGGAGAAGAAGGCTATGGCGATGATGATTCGCATACGGCGACGGTTTCCGGGAGTAGCGAAGAGGGAGCGGTATCCGACGTTGGCGGCGACCTCGCGGTCAATGCGGATAGCCTCCTTGATTTCGTTAAATTCGAACTCGACCAGAGGATCATTGCTAGATTGTGTCGGGTTAGAAACAGACAGTAATGAGTGAACAAGATGACGCACGTATTCCCACGCGCGTGATAGTATGCAAGAATCTCCCTAGCCTCTGCGTCTCGGTCCTTGCTTATAAGCCACCTTGGTGACTCAGGCGCGAACCAGATGAGGAGGATTTGGAGGACAGATGGAAGGGCCTGGAGGGCGGAGGGGATACGCCATGACCACGAGTTTTTGATGAAAAATGTGCCGAATGTCTAAAACGACCAATTAACCACATGTCGAAAAGGACCTAAGAGAATGGGCTCTTACAGTCCAAGCCGCACTAATTAAGTGCGAATGGTGTCAACATACTACGCACAAACAGAAACGTATAAACAAACGCACACAATCGAGCCGGAGTACCTGGTATCCAAAGTTAATTAGCATATACACTTTTTCAATTACCGTTAAATATTCAATACTTACCAAAGGGAGTTATATGTTGAGGTAAGCTGAGCACGTTGTGTGGGATAAGCAATTTCCGAGACGACTATGGAGGAACGAGGCCAGCAATCATTCGGCTATGAAATTTTCTCGTGTACAAATAACGAAAACGTACGTAGCGGGGCGGCATTTGCAGCGAACGTCAAACCGAACCCCACTTTAAACGAAAACCAGATGAGAAAAGGGGCTGGAGAGGCAAAGGGTGACGGGAAATTTCCACGTACTACAGAAACTAAAAGGCAAGAATGTTAATTGGACAACATAAGGCTTCATGTAGGAAAAATAACTAGCCGAGCTCCTATGAACATTCCCAAGTTGTGAGCACCAGCCTGGACACCTGCACCGAGACACACTGGATAGAGACGATTAAAATTAAAATTAGTGAGTGGGATCTGCGACCTACTGATGGAAGCACCAAGGAGAATGGCTTTGCGACGCCCGAACCAATCTGTCATGAATGGTGCGAAGGGAAGGGCGGCAAGACCGCCAATATTCTTTAAGGGGGGAGGGAGTCAGAAGTGGGATTTGGAGAAGATGCAGCATACATACTTGAATAGCGTTGAAAAGGCCAAGTTTGCCGCCGGAGGGATGGTTGAATTGATTCTCAAAGATGTCAAGGGAGAGCAAACCGTCTGCAAGACATGTAGGGCGGGTGCGGGAAAAAGGAGTAATTGATACACACTCATCATACTCCCATCGTATCCGTTCGAATACGATGTGATGAGCCTGCCCGTCCGGCGTCAGCTCGCGAGGTAATTTTCATATCTGTGTGGCGGCTTACAGCAAGAATATCCAAAGATTCAGTTTGATATGTCCTGGGGAGGTTTATGAGCATAGAACAATAGGCAGACGCTTTACAGAACTCACTTGGATTTTTCCACCAAGCACTGGTATCCACTGAAGGGTAAAAGACATTTAGAATGATACAATACCTCAGGAAATACACACCCACCTAAGTGTGCATAACCAGCGTGAGCAGAGGGGAGGGCAAGGGTACCACCGGCCATGACGACTGCTTATCGGGGGATTAAGAGAAGATGGGGTCTACCCTAAGAAGAGCAAAATACAGTCGGATTCGTGTGGGTTTATTACTGGAGGGCGCCAAGTGGAGGGACTTGGCGAAAAAATATGAGCCGCGTGATGCTGGTGGCGCGTGACCAGGGATCAAGAAGAAACGAATTTACCATCCAATCAATGTCCTGACACGCTTGGGGTTCCCACTAAGATGAGTGTTGGTAACTTGCCAATAACAGCATAATCTGTCCTTCTTCGTAAATCAATTGCCATCTTCATTTATAGCTTTAATTAGCCCAATTTATATTTTCTCTAAATATATACTACCAGTGGTTACATTTTCCCAGGTTTTGCTAGAGTATATTACCTGTATCCAATTTAAAATGTTATCTACTGCTTAATCTTGAGAAGTCGAATTCGAGTTTATGGGCGATTTTTCCTATCATCAGCGTATATTTCTGTTTGCCTGTTGTGTAGAAATTGTCAGAAATGCTTTTTCAGAGCGCGGAAACATTCTCGTGTTTTTGAGTTCCGTAGCCGACGCCATGCTCCTGGATCTACGTCGTTGAAGAAGCGGAAACGGCGGATCAAAGCAAATATTCCCACGTTTCTCCAAATAGACTGCTACTGACCAATTATACACATCCCTTATCCTTTTTACCACCGCGTCTTCGCCTCTCTTTCCTCCTCTTCCTGGGAGGGTGTCGATCACCGGGAGAGATTGGCCCTCTATTAGCCCAGCCTTGCAGACGGCCATCCAGATGGTCATTGTGATAGACCATGACGCTGAATATCTACTGAAAGTACCATCATAGATGTTGTGGTACGTATGGATGCACTATCTTACTAAACATTCTAATCTCAACGCAATGTCAGGGCGGACCTGGGCGTCCTTGCCGCTTTTCAAATCAAATGTGGAGGTATGTGCACAGACCCCATCAGTGCGTTTGCGGTGGTTCAATCAATTTAATCGACCCTATCTATAATGGTTACCTCCGTCAAAAAACTGCCCGCATTTTGTGCTTGTTTCAACGGCGAGAGCCTGTGAGAGCCCTAGCACGTATGCCACTTCACATCGTCATGTCTTTATACGGGTTTGTCGCCTATGGAGAGTTTTCGCTTTTAAGGCACCGCATATATCATCTCAATTCGGCAACTAGTTATACATGAACAGTTTGTCTTCTTGAATTGCCTATTTCAGAGCACTTTAGAAAAAAGCTGTGTCATTTCACATTTTATAAGAAAAAAGATTGCTGAACCGAATTGAAATTAGGAGACAGTGGCAACGACCTTAGTTCGCAGCACAATCATGAGAGTTCTAAACATAGGTTGGAAGACAAGTACCAACAGGGAATTAGTTATGATAAGATATATTTAGATGAATAAGCGGTCCGGATGTGTAGACCACGGGACGGGGTAAGGGGGGCCTTTGCAACTCAAACTTTTAGGGTGAATGTTGACACTAGTAGCAAATAATAGAAAATGATCAACGAATGACTTCCGGCGCAGCCAGAGCAGATGACTCGATTTGTATAATTAGGTTCTTGAATCCCTGAAGGTCCCTGTCCAATCAATCCGACTAGGTCCTCGAGAACGTGTTAGTTCCTCGACAGCAACTCTCGAAAAGTCTACAGGCACCTTTGAGCATTTTTCGGTGACGCAGTTCCTGATTTTCTTTGGCGTTCCCAACTACAATACATACCACG